GTTTGTTTTTGTTTTTTCTCTTACTGCTTGTAGTATTTTGTTCTTCTTTTGGATTTCTGGGATCTTGTTTATTACATATCTAAATGTAGATTTTTTTATCATGGCTACTTGGAATTCTATATGCCTCACTTATCTGTATGTCTAATTCTTCCTTTCTGTTTGGGAAGTTTTCTGTCATTAATTCTGTGAAGAGCTTTTTTAAGTCATTTGTCTTTTCTCCTGCTATTTCATGGATTTCTATCAGTCTTATGTTATTTTTCTTTGCATCATGTAGAAGTTGTTGGATCTATTTCTCATGATCCCTTACTGTTTTTGAGAGACCTCTCTTTTCATGGTCACTTACTGCAATCCTATCTTCTATATCTGAAATTCTATCTGTGCAATCTTTTATTGTGTTGTGTACACTTTCAATAGAGTTTTTAATCTCCTGGATATCTGTTTGAATTTGTTTTATGGATTCCATTTCTTTCCTCTTTTGGGCATTCATTGTTTCTATTTCTTTCTTATGCGGAGTCTTCATGGCTTTTCTCATGGTCATGAGCTTATCTATGTTTTTGTCAGTTTCTGTTCTAGAGTCTCGAATCATGACTTCCATTTTGCTCACCATCTCTTTCGTTACCTGGGAAATTATTTCTGATTTGAATTTTTCTAGAGCCTGATTGATCTGTTATTTTGTTACCTCCTGTGCTATAGGTCCAGGGTGTCCTGCTGGTTCACTATCAGATTTTTCATCTTCATTTGTCCTACTGTTTGCCATTGGTGAACTGGAAGTCTGTCTTTGTGTCTTGCTGAATGAGGTGTTTTCTCATTTTTATTTTTGTTGTTGGGTTGTCCTTTGTTTAATTTCTGGGTTATCACTCAAATCTTACTGTTACAGTTGTGCTTTAGCTTTTGAGTCTCTAATAACTCATAGATATCCTTATTTTCATAATATCTGAGAAAACAACTCATTAAATAAATCACAATCCTTTATCCCAATTGATACATTCAGCACCCCAATAGAATCAAGCACAGATTGCTAATTGACCACTCGTGACAGTCATTAATCTATCACCTTTAAACCATGTGAATTAAATTAATATCAGGAAGCAGCCCAAAATATATTTGTAGTGAATACACTTTTCAATATAGTATCTTTACCATTTAGGATGGGGGTTTAGACTGAGTCAGGACAAGAGGAGTACATATGTGAAAGAATTGAAGATGGTTTCAAGTGAAGCCAGAAGACATAGAATGACCATATAATCTTTATGAAACTATAAACTTCAAAGAGGATAGACAGAGTGCAGGAATAAGAACAAGAATATATCCCCTTAACAGTAACAGGGGCTCTCCTTCCTTTGAAGCTACGGAGCCATGAGTGAGGTAAAATGATGGGAGAAAAGAACATAAAGAAAAAAAGAAAAAATGATAAAAGAAGAAGTCTGAGTTAGGGCAGGAAGAGGAATAAAAAGGGAGATGAGGGATAATATGGTGGAGCAAGAGACTGAGTTGGAGAAAGAGGACAGAAAAAAGAAAGAAATTGCAGGGTGGAATGAGGAAAAGAAAAAAAAGAGAATTTGAAGGGCCTCTTTCAGACTATGTCTCTGTTGTCATATTATACCACGTATACAGCCATATGTAGAACCAAATTCCCTGATCTCAGCTAGCCAATGGCAGTTCCATGCGACTCAGACTGACCTCAGTCCACAAGGCCTAAATTGAGATTCCCAACTCGCAGGATTGAACTCCACACAGTTTTATTACAGGTTTCCCCTGCCCTTTCTTTACAGATGTTTAAAGTTGGGAGCCAGGAAAATACCCTTTATGACCACCTATGCTTCTGCAGAGTGGATCCAAGGACTTGCCCAACCAGGGGGTTTGAGAACTGGCAGGGGGAGTCAGGTTGTGGAGTGTTTCAGGGGCACCCATGCAGCTACCTTCCTTGCTGGAGTTGGTGGCATGCAGTCGGACACCTCGGGTGGGCCCAAGCAGTCAGTGGGAGAGATCTCCAGCTGGCACACAGTTGGGGAGGTCGCGGACCCACCGGGTGGGCCCACGTGGTGGAAGAGACCTCTGGGGTCCTTCCTTTCTGGAGATGCTGGTGCACAGTCGGGGAGGTGGCAGACCTGCCGGGTGGGCCTGAGCAGGTGGTAGGAGAGACCTCTGGGGGCCTTCCTTGCTGGAGTTGGTGGCACACAGTCAGACCTCCTGGGTGGGCCCAAGCAGGTGGTGGGAGAGATCTCCAGGGACCTTCCTTGCTGGAGTTGCTGATGTGCAATTGGGGATGTTGTGGACCCACCAGGTAGGCCCAAGTGTTGGAAGAGACCTCTGGCATTCCTTGCTGGAATTGCTGGTGCCTAGTCGGGGAGGTCATGGACCTGCTGAGTGGGCCTGAACAGATGGCAGGAGAGATCTCTGGGGGCCTTCCTTGCTGGAGTTGCTGGGGCACAGTCAGGAGGTCGTGGACCCACCAGGTGGGCCCGAGCAGGTGGCATGAGAGATCTGTACCTCACTTTATATACAAAATTAACTCAAAGTGAACTCAAGATCTAACTATCAGAGCTAAAACTGTAAAACCTGAGATTTGATTTAGGTTTCATGTTTATGATACCAAAGGCATGCTATTCCAGGAAAAAAAAAAAAAAACATAAACTGGATTTTATCAAAATTAAAAATTTTGTCTTTCACCGGACACTATTAAGTAAGTGAAAAGACAACTCACAGCATTGGAGAAAATATTTGTAAATCATTTATCTGATAAAGGATTATTATGTATAATGTATACAAACTAAAAAACTGAAGCCCCAAAATGGGCAAAAGAATTCAAGAGACATTTCTCCAAAGCAAATATAAAGATAGTCAATAAGCACATGGAATGATTAGCAACTTTGTTGTCATTAGGAAAGGTAAATTAAAATATCAATGAGGTACCACTTTCTACCCAGTTTGATGATTGTAGTAACAATAAACAAAAAAACTGTAAGTGTTGATGAGAATAGGGAGAGATTGGAATCCTTGTACAGTATATTGCTGATGGGAATGGTGTAGCTATAATGGATTAATAATTCCTCAGAAAGTTGCATGTAGAATTATTATGACTTGGCAATTCCACTCCTGGGTATATACTCAAAATATTGACAAAATTTTTTATGCAAATGTTTATAGTAGTATTATTTTAATAGTCAAAATATTAAAAGAATGCAAATATCCATCAATTAATAAACAAAATGTGTATAGCCATAAATAGTATATTAGTCAATCATAAAAAGGAATGAAGTGTTAGTACATGCTGCTTATCAATGAAACTTGAAAAATATTATACTATTTAAACAGAAAAAATAGGTCACACGTTATGTGATTCTATTTCACATTAAATTTCCAGAATATGTAAATACCAGTAGAGACAAAAAGCCAATTAGTGGCTTCCATGCCTGAGAGGAGAGAAGAAGGAATAGGAATCATTTTCATTAGGTCCAGGGGAGATTACAATGTTTTGATGCTAGTTATAGCTGATGAGAGTACAATATTGTGATTACACTAAATGCCACTGAATTGTACACTTTAAAAATGTCTAATTCTGTGCTATGTGAGTTTTATCCAAACCAAAATAAGTACATCATAGATAGAAGGACTTCAGGTCTCTAGAACTATATAAAACACAGAACCAAATGTCTACTATATATTGGTCATGTATCAAGTATAGGGGTTAAGAGTTTCCTTACAGTGGTCCTGCGGGTATGTATTATCCCTCTCATATTTATTATCATCCTAATTATCAAGGTAAGAAAAATGAGTGGTTTAATAACATGCACAATAGCTCATTTAATGAAATCTCACAGAAAAAAAGCTATTAGCCTATGATATTGAGTGATATCTTAACTCTATTTCTGCTTGAAATTCCACATACTCTAAGTAAATCAGGGAAAATTAAGATTTGTGCCTTCATCAGTTCCCATTTTAGAATTCATTTTAATTGCAAAAAGAACTATAACAGCATCTCATAGATGGTGTCAGGACCTTTGGCTTTACTGGTACACACAAATTTCACTATAATTCTTAGTTCTCAAAACACTTTCAAGAAAGAAACTTTATTGTCCTCCATACTAGAGTATTGAAAAAAGTGGAATTATGCAAGCCTGATTCCTTTTCTTTCTCCCATGCTGTCTTTCCCCTATATCTTTTCCACATAGAGCTGTATGGTGGGCATTGGCTAGATAACATCAGGCAAATCAATGAAATAACATTTTAAGACCAAATCTCACTTTCTAGTGACTAAAAATCTCTTCTAAAATGTCTTTCCGAATTAAACCACATTTTGTTTCTACCCCAGACTTTCTTTACACCTATACATGTTTGCTGAATTATTACTTGTCAGTACTTATAAAACATATGTTAACTAACTGGAATTCATCTGTTCAGCAATATAATAAGGTTAGGGTGTTGATGTCATAAAATATCTGGGTTAGACAAACCCAGATTCAAATCCTAGCTCCATTAAGGTGTGAGCCTGGGAGATAACTTGGACTTTATGAATCTTCCTAGTTGTAAATTAGAAACAATAATACCTAACTTCCAGATTGTTATGAGGACAGAATGAAATAATATGTGCACAAAAATCTAGTACAAAGGCTAACAGAGTTATCACTTGAAAAGAATAATTTTCTCCCTTCTTGCCTTCCATGTATTTCTTAAACTTACTACTACTCTTTAGCCTGTAATTTGCTTTAGCATCAGGACCTAGTTTTAATTAAAAGCATCAGGACAGAGATCTTACATAAATGGACAATCAGGTATGTGATGAAAATGCACACAAATACTTCCTACCCAGGTTTTCTGACAATGTCCCCAGCAGGGCTTCTAGGTCACTCAAATATATCACCTTCACAGATGCCCACATTTTCACTACAGACAACACCACAGAGTAAAGTCTCATACATCTAAAAACAAAATCTGACATCAAATAAGGGGAGAAGCTACATGCTAAGACACAGGCACATTAGCTAGAGGCACCAACTCACCTGCCAAAACCAGCTCCCCTGTAGCAGGATGAGGCTTGAGCGCAGGAGCTCCAGGAGCACATTGTTCCGTGTGAGGAACTCCATGAAGGCCAGCAAGGCTGCCAAAAAGGAGACCAAGGCCAGCAGCTGGTGTACAAAGATGTCTAATATTTCCCGGCCATGAGTATGGTTTTGGAAGATAAAAGCTAATAGACGAAGAAAAAAATGTCTTTTTCAATGAAACACAAGGCTATCCAATGTCTTTCTTTCTCCCTGTCTCTCTTTTCATAGAACTTTATACACATATATGCACAAGTGTTCAAAGATCAGGTTCCCAATAATTCTAATAATAATAATGATTTTTTTCATTCTTAGAGTCATCACTACTTTTTTCAGAATGGAATTTACGAAAATATAATCTTGCTTTTCCCTTCTTTAATATTTAATCTATCCTCTAATGCACCATGACACTTTCAACTAACTATATTTCAAAGCATTATCTATTTAAAATAATAAATAATAAACATAACAGGATGGGGAGCTATAATTAAGGCATATGTATGATGAATAAGCTGAAGACAAAGACTTATTGAAGTAATTCAGTCCATTGGAGGAAGTAAATGCATACATAAATTATAAAGGTGGATAATTGATAGATATAACCCTTCAGAATCTCAATAAGTCATAACAAACTGGGAATTGCCTTTCCAGGAAGTAGTAACTAGCTGAATTTTTCTTCATTTCATGGATAGAGTTTAGTTTCATCTAAGCCTTTTCATTCAAAGCAGCAAAGATATTCACTCAAAATATAGCAACACCGAGATAATGAGAATCGTTCTATTATATTTGGTGTCCCTTTATGTAGCCCTTGTTCTCAAAGAGGAACAAGGAAAATTCTTATCTTCAAATGTAAGAGACAAGGGGGAAAGCTAGCAAGTGACTGCTTCATAGTCATTTGGGGCTTTTGTACTTCCATAATAAATCTATTTCTTACCTGTGTAGTAAATAAAAATAAGTCATTAAATATTTGTGTACTTTGTCTCGCTAAAGTAAACAGGAAAATCAGCTGAACAAAAACAAACTAATTTTTATAAACCTCTGAAAATTAAAATCTCATATTTTTGTAGTTGCCCTACTTACCATGTTTAGTGGGAGAGTTTTACTATACTAATACTTTAGAAGCTGGTTAATAGAAAATGAAAGGTGTCTTGCTGTGAGTAATTGCTCCATTTCAGGATATTTATGGTCCACCTCTTAAAAATGAAAAAATTATGATATCCAAGTCAACCAGGAGTTAAGGAACCACTGCAGATAATTCCTTAAGAAAGGTATGAAATGTGAATAAAGCATATCTTGATTATGCTTGCCCCATTCTACTAAATGAATCAGTAAGGAAGGAAGATCTTTGGCCTCCTGCCTAGGATACCCAAATGTCTCACTATGGCGCAGCTACATGATCCTATAAATCAAAGCTGCACTAAAATACTAAAGACCTTTCATTATAAATGCCTGCACAAATGTCTTCTAAGAGAGAAAAGGTGCAGAAAAATACTCATACTTACTCTCCACAAATAATGCATTTGACAGCATTAACTTGGGTAAGGAGACTGGAAGTGAACTGATGGTGAAACATAAGATATTAGCCACACCCAGCAGCCCAAAGAAGAAATACATGGTGCAGTGATGCCAGCCCATGAGTTGGTTCCACTGGCCGTCTTTATATAAAATCAGGTAGGGTCCTCCAGAAATAAATTGTTCCCCAAGCATGCCTGAAAAGGAACATACAATAATTTTAGTAACCTTCTCCATAATTATACCTCGCATGCATAAAGGCACAGGAGGACTGTTCCAATCTGCTGTTATTTTATGTCACTGATTCCTTCTCTCTGAGTTGTTCCCTAACATGCCAGCAATGATGGTTTAGGCTTTTTTTTTAGGTTCAAATAATCAATTTTGGTCAAAATTGCCAATTTATTCAAACAGCTATTTCAGATCTAAAATACTAATGATTTTAGTTTAATTGTCTATTCCATTTTAATGACTAAGTTAAATCTTGAATGATTTAAGGTTTTGAATGTGTGCATTCAGCCCTATGGAGACTATTTCTTTATAGATATTACAAACTAAGGAATTGTCTTTGTTTCCTCAACAAAATTTTTTTTTAAATTTCTGCTTTCCCTAACTGAAGATGAAAAAGAAGGTCCAGACAAATGTGCCGTCTGATGGCCCAAGCAATTTAATTTTCTTTGAGATGTTTCATTATTTGCTAACCTATTGAATGAATTAATTTACTATTTATTTATTTGTTTATTTATTTTAGAAGTGACAAAGTTCATTTGAAAAAGAAAAAGTGAAGAGTGAGAGAGAAACTGGCTCTGCAGAGTGAGCTTAGGCTGAATAAAAGGAAAAAGCAAAATAAAAGTACACCCTGAAGAAAGCACTGCAAGATATCATGAGGAAAGCCAAGATAGCAATCTTTTGTTGTAATCCACTGAATGTAGCAAGGAAATTTCCTCTTGCAAATGGTTACTCTAATTTATGGCCATAGCAAAGTCCTATTGTCATGGAGAAACCATGAAAATTTTTAATGAGAAAGTGGGAAGCTTCATCTTGTGCAAAAAAAAAAAATTAATGGGACTCTAAAATCAGAACATTTCATAGAATCCGCATTATTGAGGGTTTCCCAAATGCACATGATTATTTTGGTGTCATTTGAAAAACGGTTTCTGACAGTTTTTTGTTTCAAGAATTAAAACAATTGATGATAACATTATTTCAAAGGTTCCAACAAATCTTTTAAAGAAATTCACCTTGACTGGCTGGACAAATTAATTAACTATTGTGTCTAATTCATTAAAGAATAGGCTTTTGTAGAAACATAAAGTACCACTTTCCTAACAGATTATATCAGATAAAAGTTACAATTAGAATATATATTAAGAACTACAAAATTCTTTATAGCAATTTTTTTATTTTGTATGTTGAATCTTCTTTTTACACATGGAAATACCCCAAAGAAGAAAATAGAACAAAGAAATGGTATACTCACCAGTTAAGGCCATGATAACTATTATAATTCCCTCCAAAATTTCCATTTGACGGAATAATGCTTTAGAACCAAGGTAGAAAGTCCTCTTTTGCTTTTTGCAAACGTACTTCAGAATACTCTTTGAACTCCACCAAAAACCCATGATAAAGAAGAAGCTTCCAGGGAGAACATGACCTTTGAAACTTCCCATGGTCTAAAAATAAGAATAAAGATAACAATGTACAGAAAGAAGACCTTTCCTTTTTGGAATTGGCAAAATATTTCTTGTCTACATAAAGTACACTACCTTATGATTATTATGGGCACATGGTACATCCCACTGTATATCAACATCAGAAAAAGAAAAGAAAAGCAAACTTCACATTTGTTGAATGTTTTCCATGTAACAAGCATGATGTCAAGTGTTTTATGTCATATTTATAACCTTATTTTTACAACATGCCCATGCATGAGAGAGTATTAGTCCAATTTCAATTAAGATACTGGCTTAAAAATTTAATGACTTGTTCATAAAGTCTTTTCCTATACCAATGTCTTCCAGAGTTCTGCCTAACTTACCTCAGTAGCACGGGAACTAGCAGAAAGAATCAACAACTGGGATCTCATCTTACTAAAAAGCTTCTGTACTTCAAAAGAAACCATTAGCAGAACTAAGAGACAATCTACAATGTGGGAAAAAATTTTTACCAGCTGTACCTCAGACAAAGGACTATTATCAAGGATATATAAAGAACTCAAAACATTCAGTCCCCCCAAATATAAAGACCCGATCCAAAAATGGGCATCCGAAATGAACAGACATTTCTCATACAAAGAAGTAAAAGCAGCAAGTAAATATATGAAAAAATGTTCCACATCACTGGTCATCCGAGAGATGCAGATGAAAACAACACTGAGATTCCACCTCACCCCACAAAGAATGGCTGCTATCAAGAAATCACACAATAACAAATGTTGGCGGGGTTGTGGGGAGAAAGGAACCCTCCTCCATTGTTGGTGGGAGTGCAGACTAGTGCAACCACTATGGAAATCAATATGGAGATACCTCAAAGAGCTTGGACTGGAGGTTCCATTTGACCCAGCCATCCCTCTGTTGGGTATCTTTCCAAGAGAACTAAAAGAATCATATCACAGAGAAGTATGTGCACCCATGTTTATAGCGGCACAGTTTGTAATAGCTAAATCTTGGAAACAACCTATTTGCCCATCCGTTGGAAACTGGATAAAGAAGTTGTGGTTTTTCTATAAAATGGAATATTACTCAGCCATAAAGAGCGAGAGAATAGATTCATTCATAGGAAAATGGATACATATTGAAGATATACTCCTAAGTGAAATAAATAAGTCCCACATGTGTAAATACCAAATAGTTTCCCTGGTGTGAATATTCTGCAACAATGCATAAGATTCTAATAAGATTACTGACATTTAGAAATGGGAGGAAAGGAGCTAAAGGTGTAGGGAAGGTGTGATACGTAGGGGAAGAACAAAAAGGGAAAAGAAAAAAATGTGAGGGAATGAAAAGATGAAAATAAAGTGTTTGTAGATGGGGGTGAAGGGAGGGCAGAGGTAAGGGGAAAAAAAATGAGAATCAAGACTTGCCATGTAAAGGTACATGATCCCAACAATGAATGTAACTGTACTGTATCCCTAAATGTACCAATAAACTCAATAAAAAAAAATTTAATGACTTGCCCAGGTCTCATAACTATTAGGCAAAACTTTAGTGTTTTTAAACACAGAACTCAAAAGATTTCTTTAAAAGATAGTGTGTACTTTGTCATACATCTGAACTTTAATCATATTTAAAAGTAATACAAAAGTTTATCCATATGTTTAAAATTTGAAATAATTTGAAATTGCATACAAAGAAATGTTTTCACTAGATAAGTTCAAAGCATCAAAGATCAAATTGTGAAAGAGTGTTCATCAAATATTTTTGTGTTCCTCTTCATACCTTCCCAGTCTCTCTTCTTGTTGGACTGGAAACATTTTTAAGTTCTGGCTAACCTCAGAGAACACACCCTCTTGAACATCCTGCTTCCTCATTTGTCTGTTGTGCCATAGATTAGGTGAGAATCACCTTGCTATCCCACACACCAAGGTACAAACCCCAGTCATGTACCACCTGCTCTGAGAACCAAAACCAACAGAGTGCCTTATTTGTTTTTATGGTAATAGAGATGGGCAGCAATAATATAACTGATAAAATTCTAAGACAATAAGCCAGTTGCTGTCATACAGGGAGATTGTGACAGGTATCAGAGTTGAATCTTAGTCATAACTGAAATTGCAATAGGAGATGACAGAACAAACATGTTGTACACTGACTTCATTTAGAATTATACTAATCTTTGTGTGCATTGTACAGTAGGAACTCAAGTACTTCAGCTACCTATTAGAAGACAGACACTGCCTCTGCCTAAGCAAATGGAACAAATGGGAAAACAAAAATGTCAGAATTATTGAAGTATAGCCCTTACTAATGAAATGATTACAATTTCTTTGAGAATTGTTAGCAAGACTTGCACATGTAAATGGGAATAGGGTTCCATAAGAGAAAGGTATATGGTGGATGTAATTCTAAAACAGTATAGAGGATGAGGAACCCATGATGACCAGGGTACAGTGGAAAAGCAGCATCAAAACAATTGAATGCATCCTAAAAAAAAATAGTAAGAATGCAGAAATAAGAGTTTTGATCTGCAAGAGAGTTTCTCAATCACTTGAAGTCTGGCCCCACCCCATCATCTACTGGAAAAAGGATGAGTGACTCATTACAGATTATACTGCCAAGATGCAGGAGTATTATTTTAATAAAAGCATGTTTTGATTTGCATTTGTCTGATGATTAATGATACTGTGCATTTTTCATATACATGTAGGCCACTTTTTGAAAAAGCCTACATAGATTTTTTACATATTTGTTCAACCAAATTAGTTTTTTTTTTTTTTGCTAGTGAACTGAGTTTTTCAACTATTCTCTGTATTAATTCCTTGTTAGATACATGATTTATAGATATTTTGGCTCATTCTGAAGGTTGTCTCTTTACTGTCTTCATTGTTTCTCTTGCTGTGCAGAAGTTTTTAGCTAGATGCTATTCCTTTTGTTCATTTTTGCTTTTGTTGCCTGTACTTTGGGGGTTTTACAAAAAAATCACTTTAACCCAATTATAATAGCTTTTTCAAAATGAAATAACAGGGGAAATAAGCAAGGAGAAGCCTCTATTTGGCTCTGAATAAAAAAATGCTGGTATGGATATGGAGAAAGGTGAACTCTTATACACTGTTGGTTGGAATGTAAATTAGTGTAGCTATTATGCAAAACCACATGGAGGTTCCTAAAATACTTAAAGATATAAGTACTAGACTATCCAGCAGGCCTATGATTGGTTGTATATCCAAAAGAAGTAAAATCAGTATGTTGAAAGGATAGCCATATTCTTAGTTTATTGCAGCCTTATTCATAATACCCAGGGCATGGAATCAACCTATGTATCCAATAACAAATGACCAGACTTTAAGAAAATGTGGTACATACACAAAATGAAATCTCCAGTACCCCCCCAAATTATCAAAAACAAAATTTTAAAAATAAATAAGTTATATGGAAAACACTTTTTAAAGAACAAAAATAACTATATAATAAATTCTAACAGCCACCTAATGCCATCCTAGAATCACATAGAAATACATTGAAAAGCACCTTGCCACTTTTTATAACATTAAACACACATTTATCACTAAATCCAGTAATTCCACTGCTAAATATTTATCCAAGAGAAATGAAAATTGTGTTCACATGAATATTTGTATTTAGATGCTCACAGTAGCTTTATTCATAGTAACTCAAACCTATGAATAACCAAAATGCCCATAAACTAATGAATGAATAAACTATAATACATTTGTACAGTAAAAAGGAAAACACTACTGATCTATCAAAATGGGAATTAAAAAAGCACTTTGCTAACTGAAATGAACCAGACATAAAAGAGTACGTACTGCACAATTTTATTTATATGAAAGTTTAGAAAAGACAAACTTCAGTGATATACATCAGATCAGTAATGGCTAGAGGATGAGAAATGACTGCCAGGGATAGGAAGAAACTTCAAGGTGATGGAAATTTTGGTATATTGATCATGATAATTATATAACTGTGTACATTTGTCAAAAATTATCACATTGGCCGGAGATTTAGCTCAGCGGTTCTGTGGCCTGCCTTGCAAGCACAAGGACCTGAGTTCAATCCCTAGTACCAAAAAGAAAAAAAAAATCACATTGTTATCTTAGAAGGGATAAATTTTACTGCATATAAATTTAGACTTCAACTGAAAAGAAAAGAGAAGAATATTTGTCGCCTTTGCCATGGGTTGCAATGGCTAGAACTTTTGCACCTACCTCAGATTATAAAGATAAGGCCCATATATAAAGGCTGGGAATGTAGCGGTACAGGATCCCAGTAATGAATGTGACTGTACTGTATACCTAGAATGTACCAATAAACTCAATAAAAAGAAAAAAAAAGTCTGGGAGCAGTAAACCTGAAAAAGGCATATTCCTGGGTATTATGAATAAACAATTTTGTCTCTAAAATAACTATTTTATTAGAGATGCAAGTAAAATTTTACAGTGCATGACAAGAACAAAAAAATAGTCAAATCTATCTTGTACTTAAAACTTTATTTTCCTCATTGAGTTTATTGGTACATTTTAGGAATACAGTACAGTTACATTCATTGTTGGGATCTTGTACCTCTACATGACAGGTCTTGGTTCTCATTTTTTCCCCTTGTCCCTGCCCTCCCTTCACCCCTCCTCCCCTCCCCCTTTACAAACACTTAAAACTTTATCAAAATGATAGCTGGCATTTATGAATTGGTTTCTATATATCACTAGCCATTCATGTATAATTTCTCTGCATTTTAAATCATTTAATTCTCAGTTTTAGAGGCTCACATTCCAAGGTTGGGCAGCCCCGTTTGTCCAGCTGCTGGTGAGGGCCTGCCTCTTGCAGATGGCATCATGGTTAGAACAGGTGCAAAAGAATGCAATCATGTGGTGACACAGTAAGCAAGAGAGAAGGGGCCACATTTTCCTAACAGAGGTATCGAGAAGTAGCTGGTGGGATCCCTTTGTAGTAGCTTAGTTTAGTTGTTATAAATAGGCAATTTTAAAGCCTAAAATAAG